CTTCTTACGCCATCTTCCAGCCAGCGATGCGAAGGATACATATCAAGCAGCAGAGGCCCTCGGTCACTTCTCCAGTGGTGTCGTGGCTGGTATTGGGCTTGACAGCAGTGAAGTTGGATTCCCACCGGAGATATTCAAAGAAGTCTACGAGTCTGCGAGCAAAGCTGGAATTCGGAGGACAGCCCACGCCGGTGAGGAGGGCGATTCTACGTACATCTCGCGGGCTCTGGACCTGTGCAGCACAGAGAGAATTGATCACGGGATTCGGCTGGTCGATGATGACGCTCTATTAAAGAGAGTGGCCAAGGACAAAACTCTAGTTACGATGTGCCCCTTGAGCAACGTCAGGCTCAGGTGTGTGACCAAAGTTGCGGAATTGCCCATCAGAAAATTCTTGACGGAGGGTGTGCGTTTCAGCATCAATAGTGATGATCCAGCTTATTTCGGTGGATACATATTGGACAACTATATCGCGGTTCAGGAAGCTTTCCGTTTGAACTTAAAAGAGTGGAAGTTCATTGCTGACGGGGCCATTGAAGGAAGCTGGTGCGATGGCGAAAGGAAGCAGGTCCTGCTTGAAAAGGTTGAGCAATGGGCTGAAAGTTATAAAGGCACTCTGTGAGAGTGCTACGTGACAATGCCACTACACTGTACTATTGTACTAGACTGCATTTTACAGGAGTTATAGATCGCATGGCTCTTCAGGCTACTGGTCAAAATAGTTATTAGATATTATTCCTCCATAATATACGCGACCATCTAGCTGGTTGCTTCAAACGTATCTATATGAAAAGTACTTGGTAGGAATTCTTGCTGGTTCGCGCGTATCATTGTGAAGGCTGGTGAGAATCTATCTATCTATACCTTGCCTTCCGCCCGTAATGATACAGCGATCAGTGGAAGCCGAGCCGCTCTTCTTCAATCGTACCGTCCCTTGTGCAAACTCACTGGTGTGATATACATCCTCTGGTTATCGTAAGTGACTATCCTGCCTCACATGTCGGTGCTGACTTGAATTTGTTCATTGCAATGACACTTCGGCTCGTCAAGAAGGTAATGCCCTCCATACCTAACACCAAGGCCATCGTGTTATAACGGCGGTCTCGCGCCATTATAATATCTGATGGTGAAGCAAATATCCAAACTTCAGTAGTATACAGACTGCCCGTTTATGTCTACTCAGGTAGTCAGTCTAGCTCCCTCCAAAACGCTCCAGTTGCTTAGGGTGCCAATTCCGCTAATTCAAGAATATTCGTGGAAGGCGCGATGACGGTGATTCATCTACATCACGGAAGAGCATCAGTTCCACATACCAGGCACTTATCTGTCGATTGATAGTCTGTAGATTGGTCGAACAGCATCATTCGCATTTGATGCGGCAACTGAGAAGAAGTGTCGCTTAATCGCTTCGCCCCACCTTTTCCTCCCGAATCACAACAAAGGCGTAATATAGAACTTTGAGTGACTGAAGCGTGGCTAGTAGAGCGTCACGAGCAATCGATGAAGCGAAACGATCACTACCATAATTGAGAGATATACGTGCGCTTCATAATTTCATGGTCTCTTAGATCCAGGTATCATACCGGTAGTCTGGTTAGTGGTAGCTCGTGGTAGCGTGTATCGTCTGGAAACCACAGCAGGAACCACCCAGCCAGTTCAGATCACGATGCGGTACGGTACGGTGGTCAGTTCAGATACCAATTGCACTGTCCCAATTTCTTAAGCAACTCTTCTGATCCCCTTGTGCTAAGACTTTCCTACCACACACAAATATTTTTTATCCCCAAGCGCTCACCCAAGATTCAAATGAGAAAACTCCTTGTATTCGATCAGCACAAGCCAAATCATCCTTATCTAAAGCAAGCATACCTCCCGAATCACCAAGACCAAGCATTCCCCAGTCTCGATACCACCACAATGCCTCACGCCTCTGGCTACCAGCACTCTGACATTCTCCTCTCTAAAAAGCCTTGGGATCAAATGTCTCCCTGCCAAATAGCACAGCTTAAGAAAGCACGTCAAGAGAAGAATCAATACGAGGGAGTCTTTCATGCTGGTACCCCCAGCAGTTCAGAGCCACTTAGCAATGTCGTTCCTGCTTCCCGATATAAACGAGCTACTAAGCGACAGCGAGCAAGATTGAGCGATCCCTTGGCAGGCATGTCTCAAGGTGGCCCAAATGTTACAGCGTCTCGCAATGATCAGCGAATTTCGACAAAAAAGCCAACGATTAAAGAAATGGCGATCCCTCACCCGAAAACCGCCAACCCCGCTGAGATTACCTCTTCGGTCGGCACATGTGCTCCTACCAGCAGTGGCCCAGTCTTCAGCAAAGGTACTCTGTCAAAATCAGAGAAGTCTTCGGCCCCTTTACAAGGTCAAGCTGAAAATTCGACCCAAGATATGGAGGGCACTGGCTCTCAAAGTTCGGCCAGACAAGCACCAACGTCTCCCACATCACTCGCGGCAGCGAACGACTCGTCTCATGATATTTCCCACACAACTAAGACCGGTGAGCTTCCGGAAGCTGCCGGCATGGTTTCAATGTTATCACAGGATACTGTGAGCTTGTATGACGACAATGAGTATCTCATATCATATCCTACCGCGATAGACGTTGACTTGGCAAATTTCAACTTTTCAGTCTCATCAGTAACCTCCGAAATTGCTGATCATCCAACGCTCACAAAAGGAACCAAAAGGAAGGCTGACGTCGAGGCCGCCGACATCGATGCGAACCAAGGGGAGACCAAGAAGATGCGACCAAATCTTGATGGCCAAAATTGCGGACAGATGCCGGTCCGGCTGCTTAATACTACAACCACTTCCAATGTCAAAAAGACTTACCAGAGTCCATATCCACCAACCTATAACAGGCAATTTGTCCCACCCATTGCAGCCTTGCTCGCAGGTGGTCAGAATCATTTCTCAGGCACGCAGCCATCCTTTGGGACTTTTGGGCCTGCCCCTCAAACCACTAAGCCTGCTCAATCTCCAACCCCAGCTGTGAATCTAGAAGGGGTAGTTTCTCTTGGATTTCTACATGTGGCACAAACTGTTCAACACATCAACCAGGGCAACGTTACGTACAACATTGGACAAATGACCAATGTACAGAACCAGTACAGCGGCCAAACACCACAGCCCCCGAATCATCAACACCAGCGGAACAACTTTCAGCAACCTATGACACCTCAGGTCCATAATCCAAGCACTTCTGAAAAGGTGGGTTCTGACGATACCTTCAAGGACTTCCCTGATTATGCTCCTTATCACTCTGATCTATCGTCCTTGCTACCGAATGTCGGTATGATTCCCAACAACACAAATCTTGCTTTCAATGATTCTCCTGGTTCTCCAAATCATTTTCAAGGAATGGACGGACACTTCTCAAATCGCCTGCAGCAAGTCCAAAGCCTACAACCAACGAGCTCGGTCAACGCCTCCAACATTCCTGAGTGCGGCGTTGATAAAGCTGCGAGATCTTCGACCATACAGCGGCATATGGCCCCTGTTCAGGACATGGCTACTACCTACGATACAACGCCTACCATCCCTCCGTATGAAGTCTATCCAGGATATTCGGGCAACCTCCCGAATGACATGTCTGCTCTTCCTGGTGATATGGCTGTACCTCCTTTCGACATGGTTGCGCCTCCTGTCAAGCTAGCTGCGGGATTCTCGATTCAGGACACTCCTCAAGAGCACAAAGAACCGCATGTCCCTGGAAGCGAGCTCGGTCCAGATTTCAAAGAGCCTATCAGCCCCAGCAGCCAAGTGCCCGACTATTCTTCGACCCACAACCCAAGGGATATGCCTTACCACGTATGGCAGCAAGGCAAGGATCTCTTACACTCAAGCTATCATAGTCTCAAGACGCTTGGCCTATTCTCCGTACAAAGCTTTACACGGACACGACTTTTCGACCCTGAAGAGCTTAAATGGCTAGAGGAACGAGCTAAAGAGGGGAAGCAAAGGCATTCTTCTGAATTGGAACCAGTCTCCCTCGAAGATTTCACCTACCAATTCCGTCAACGATACTGCTGGGCTCCAGACTCCGACCTGAAGTGGAGACTCAACGATACCCTTCTAAATCTACAAGGGAAGCCGGGCTATTACCGAGTCGGTCGCTGCGCGAACATGCAGCCATGGATCGTCAATCGTCACTGGCAGACGGTCTATTTAGAAATGCGCCCAGGAATCTCTGATCTGATGGCCTTGGACCATGCTTATTGGCTCGATTGGAGCGACAGGTGGAAGTTGTCTGTTGTTAACAAGAGTAAAGCAGATCGAGAATGGGCTATTGAGAATTATGAAGACTGGATAAAGAACAGAACAGAACCCCTAAAACCGTGAATTGATTGATGATGGCCACTAGACCTGGTATTTGTTCTTCGCTACGAGGTTTTCCTTTCTTTTCTTATGTTTGTATACATTTTGTTCGAAGCATAGTTTATAGTAGAAGCTGGTATCAGGTGTAGGCTCGGGCCGGTACAGCAGGTTCAGAACAGCAGTAGTTTAGTATCGTAGCGTAATTAATATTCAGATTACCAAACAGATCATTTTGATATTATGCCGTAACGGCACGTTCCAGGTCAATTCCGTTTGGAGTTCTTTCGCAAAGATCCTGCGGAAGTGTTATCGAGGAGAATCCAGAGTCACATCGAATGACTCGCTTTGGCGACGGAAGTCCTGCAATGGTTCGCGGAGTTGTCCGTGATCGAATACATCAAATTATTGAGGTTTAAACCGAGAGTGGCCTTGGAAGCTGAAGATGCTCCTAATGTTGATGTTGGCAGGTTTTGGTATTTGTCTCTTCTTGAAGCATACATGCCTCCTTTTTACTTTGCTTCGATACACTTGGAAATCTTTGCCCTCTGCCCCTCTGCCCCCCTGCCCCGCATAGATCCACACCACAATCAATTTTCGGAATTTCTAGCTTCAATATGTACCCAGATTAGCATATCTTTCACAAATCAGCAGCAAGTCAGCTGTTCCAGGCGTTTGTGGTTTAGTGGTAAAATCCATCGTTGCCATGAGACTCTCTTATGAGTGATCATAAGTTGGAGTTCCAGTGTCGATGGGCCCCGGGTTCGATTCCCGGCGAACGCATTAACCTTTTTGGCTTTGTTATTAGGAGTTTTTTTTTTTTGGTAACAGCTCGAGATGATATTGCAAATATTTATCTGCCTTGAAAAGCGTTGACTCGGAACAGCGAACAGGCTTTCCTTTTTTAGATAAATCTGGAATACTTGTTTTACAACTAGATTCAATAGATGAACGAGAAGCGAGTTCTCGGAACTCTGTTATACTGACAGGCTGGCAAAAGCTGGTGCTTAGATTTTCCGGTCCAGCAAGAGCTTGAACCGGCATAGGAACATCATGAAAATAACAAGTACCATAAGTCGCAAAGCGATTACAATTTCAATTTTGATGCTTCAGAAATTCTTTTGATATATTTGGAGCCTTTATAATATTCTTCAGGCACTTTATGATTTTAAGCTCGCGTAGGAAAATTCTTCGAGAAGAAATTTCCAATGTGGGTCATCCCGCAAACAAGACTATATAGGAAATTGTCCGACGGCAAAAACTGTAGCTCCGCATTGAAAACAAAGAATTGGGCCAAAAGGAGATAATACACAATGAATGAGAAGACGATCGTTTGGATTAATAGTCAATGCGGCCGTTGGTGCAGAGAAATTCCCAAGGTGGTCCTAATGAGCTTCTCCATTTTACAAAAGGAGAATCTACAAAAATATGAGAAGCTCCAGGTATACACCTGGGGCCATGAACTCAAGAGAAACCTCTCTGACGGGGAGTCGAACCCCGATCTCCCGCGCTTTGTCTGTTATGACAAGCGGAAATCATGACCGTTAGACCATCAAAGATGAAGCTGTTGTAAGCTGATTGGACGAAAGAGGCTTACTTGGTTACATAGAGTAGATAAAACTTTGCAAGCTATGTGGTTTTTCTTGTGGGGCAAAAAGCGTCTTGACAAAAAGCGGTGAACAAGGGAGGCGGAAGTAGGTAGCCGAGATTCTCTACGTTCTCCCTGCCATCCAAAGCTGCAAATCTAGAGATAATAATGCCAGCATTGCACATTCGATCGCATTGAGATGAGTATATACCAGGATTGTCAGTATGAAGTGTGGAAGTCATTTATTAGACAGAGTCCTGCTTCGGGTGGGACGTTTAAGTCGACCCGCGGTTCGGAGAATTTTAAGCGAGACTGTAAACAAACACCAGGATTAGAGCATTTGCTCCGCCTGATTGATTCGAAGAGGAGACACAAATAGCAGTCTATTCCGTTATATCAATAGAGTCTTTGACTACGATCTCACGGTGAAGTCCACGTTTTAGAGGATACTCACAAGCTACTCACCAGCGATGACCGCGAACTCAACAACTTGTTTTTATTCTCATCATCTCATGAGGATATACGTAGGCATGGTTCGTAATGTGTTTTTCCTCTACTTAAATTCGTAGTCTCATATTAATATAACATGGAAGATAATGGCGAACCTTTGGAGTTAACGATACATTACCAGTAGCAGGTGTCCGCCTAGGAGCCATATTCGAGGCTGCGGCTATGCTATGATTTTGATTACCTCGATTCCTTGGGATCGTGCATCGATTTGAGCAGCGTAGACTTGAACATGAACTCCGCAAGATACTGTAGTGCATTCACTCCGTATAAATTATAGTAATTCGCCTCCGTAGGAACGTTCCCGAAACTAGGTCGTTTCATACAAATGTGAATGCCTCATTGTAAGATGCCTGACTTGGACTTTCGACAAAGACTCGAGCACAAAAGGAGCGAGCACGATAGGAGCTTGGAGCTTGAGACCCGGAGATCGAATATCGTCCACCATTTCTGACTTTCCCTGCATTTACGGCTGAAAGAACCTAGGTTCGATACCCATTGCTCAACATCCAGAATTTGCACGTCGACATCTTGGAAAGGGAAGCGCTGCTTGCAAGCTCGAAACAGCGACCAGCCCCGCCTCCCAGTCATCCAATACCAACATTCACCCTCTCACCCACCGAAGCAAAACTCATATCTCCTTCTCGACGCCGACCACTCCTCGAAATGTGCAATTACGCAACCCTCACCTTCACACACTGCAACTGCCAAGAGGTATCCCTCGAAAAGCAATGCACTCACGCCAGACAAAGTGGGATGAACTGTCTCTATCGACCACAATATGATTTCGGCCCGGGCGTCGAGGCCAGCAGTCCAAGCAAACGGGCACGAAAGAGAGCCAGAAGAGAGAGTGAGGGAAGAGGAAAGAAATATAGGCTGGTACAAGGAGAGTGCGAGTGGTGCAATGGAGATTACTGGGGATATCCCGAATAGGTTGGAGTACTGATTGCCTATGGAGCGCTGGGGCTCGGAGGAAGGTGGACATTGAATACTCTTGCAAAATGTGTGGAGGGTTTTGCACTTGCGGGCTACATCTGAGGTATGAAGGACATGGGGAGCAAGTAGGTTCTTTTCGTCGAAGACAACTTTCACGGACTTGAAGGAACCCAACGACATCTCCAGCTTCATGGGCACCTGCGAGACCCCGCAACCTTAGACTCATGTAGGCTAAAGACTACAGCTGGGTACATGTCAGCCACTCAAATCTGGCGTTGCACCCAACAACGGAAGCAAAATCAGACTCACCTAAATTGTTCATGTAACCTCATACCATCACAAATATCTTCCACCAAGCATCCATCATGCAATCTCAACCATCCAACTCGGTCTGGATATATTAGCCTCCCAGGCGACACTCTCAACCACTCTCCCTTCCCGGCACTCATACTCTGTCCCCCACCCTATCTTATCATATCTTTTAGAGCGCACCCCGCGAAGCCGTGGCCATTTTTAAAGACACCGTAGACCCGTACCACAGCCGGTGTTCTCATCCGAACTATTTACGACTCGCCAACCACCACATCAACTAGCAACGCAGCCCCTGGATTCCACATTCGTCACACGCTACTATTCAAGCCATGAGATCCACTGCAAAATGGCTGGAAGACTCCGGAGCCATCGTTAACAATACATCTGAGGGTAGATAGCGATATGTAGGTCATTCTTGCACAGAGAGGTTGCAGGCAGTGGAGGCCGGGACGTGGATGTTCGTTTGCAGCCAGCCGGAATAGGTACAGAACCGAGTGAATGACTCATGCCAATCGCAATAACAGAGTGCGTTATGAACTCATTCAAATAAGATATTGTGAGAAGGAACATGGGCTTGGGACAAAGTAAGAAGTAATTAATAGCCGGTTCTGTTTGGGCAACTATGAGAAAACTCAGTGGCGTAACCAGAAGACGTGGAAAATAGCTGAAGAAGCACACGATCCCATGCAAAGGCTCAGCTGACGCCGCAATCCAGTACGGGATAGCTATCCCAGTCAGCCCTGTAAATTACCAATCTAAGGAGGCACAAGTGTCGATCTGAATGTCCATTTACAAGCCACTCATATCACCGGAAGCACATGTCATAAACCAAGATAGCCCTTCAACGTTATCAAAACACATCTCAAAAGTCTCAATTTCCATTCCATTCCTATCATTGATCCGCCTAAACACCTTCCTACCAATGCAGTGATGCATGATTTATGCTCGCTCTGGAGCGCACGCACGCTAAATTTTACGAAGAAAACAGCCTCCTCCCACCCTTGCTTGCTTGCTCTTGCTGAAGAAACGAGCCTGACACATGAAACCATATGACAGGACAAGACAGTAATTATTAACACAAAAGGGACAAGTTTGGTTGTTTGATCGACGAGATCTGGTATCTGGGTGAGGTATGGTAGGTAGGTAATGCCTCCGCTTCCTCGAGAAGGGAGGCGTAGAGAAAGCTCAAGAAATTACATATGCAAAGAGGTGATGGGGCAGATCCAAGTATTTAGTAACGCGTACGCTAGGTGTGTAGTGACAAGGTGTATAGACAGGAAAGCAGTCGGTATATGACGGGAAGTAGCATGAGTTTGAGTGACAGTCAATATTGCCAAGGAGTGTGTCGATTGTGTCATCATTGGCCGTAAGCGGCCCAAGTCCGGTGTGCGTCTTGCAGGACTACAATCTGATTAGCTAAGATCGAAGCAAGTTATGTCGAAGAAGCTTACTGTTCAAAATCCTCCCCTGACCAGCTCGATCCTCACAAGCGACCTGCAATCCACCGCCCTCAACGAAGTCCAAAACAACACTGTTCGGCAGCTCCTGCATCTCTACATCCGGGATGGAAGGTGTTCTGAACTCGCTTAAGTGAAAGCGGCGAGTGGCCCCTGCATTGGCTTTATCCCGTCCATTTCCATGAGAGCTCAGGGCAGGTGAGATGATGAGGAACCCTTGTGAATCAAGAAGCATCGATCTTCGCTTCCAGAGCAAGCTGTCTGGAAACTGAACGTTCACGTCGCCAATATCGACATTGTTAGATGACATAGAGTTGTTGGAAGGGTATGATGAAGTCATTGACTGAGCATCACTGTTGTGGAGAGGCTCTGACTCTTCGCGAACGGTTGGGGAGATTGCATGTGCAATGGTTTTGCGGCTTGCCGATATCCCAGAAGACATCCGTCGCATCATGCGGCTTGCTCTGTTTGATTTCTTCTCAGCCTTCTCATCACCAGTCGATGATGTCGAGCCAGCTGTGGGAGGCGGAGAAAGGGACTGTGAAGGATCCCGACTAGAGGTTGACACACGACTGCTGATAGACATAGGTCGTTGATGTGCTGGAGAGGCATGAACTGATGGTGGGCGTGACGATGATCTTCCTGATGGGGATGGTGCTGCTGTCTCGATAGTGACTGATCGTCGACGTTCAGAAAAGGAGGAACGTCGATCGCTGATCAGGTCCTTGATGATGGTTATCGAAGACCTCCTTTCCTTCGTCGTCGTTGCCTTAGAAGAGGTTGAAAGGCGTCTCTCCTTCGAAAGTCGCCGTTCTTGAATTGTCTCTTTCGGTGGCTGTACAATCGCTTTTTGATGATCTATCACTAGCGGTGATTGTTTCAAGTCCAGAGGAGCGTACTCCGAAGGATCTTTGCCAAGTTCTGATTTTGAAGGAAATGGCTGAGAAGGATCTCGTATGATCCTCGCCGTCACGGAAATGGAT